CATCCTGCAGTGTTATGGCTGTAACATCATGGTTTATGCTTCTGTCATTGAAAATTATCAGTCACATGAAATGTTCTTATTTAGCCTTTTTACAGCTTGGTTGTGGTTCATGGGTCTGTCTTCCCATCCAGCTGGTTGTTGTTGGACATAGCATCTCTATCCTGCTCTACCTTATTTTGACAAAATCTTGTTAGTGCACCTTACTGATGCTCTCCCCCTACTCCCTGCTTACACCAGCAGGTCAAAAAAATGCTAGATTATAATCCAATAATGCATTTATGTAGTAATAGTGATGATGATGATACTGAATGAGAGAGGTTATCAAAACCAGCCGTGCTCCTGACTCAATACTAGCAAGCAGTTCAAACAGGCAGTTTTAAAAAGCCCTCTTATTTGAATTTGTTTCTCTTTTGCCATCTATTCAGAGCTGTGAGTTGGGGTTTTATTTAAGGAAAAATCTTTTTGTAGGAAATGGATGATGTGTTAGTACTCTTTAAATATACATTTTTGGATGAAGACCAATTAAGGTTTCCTAAAAGTGAACTATGATTGGTAAGTTCTGTGTAAAAGAGGTTTCCTGAGGTTTGGCTGGCATGGACTCAGCTACATTAAACCCTATTGGAAGGGCAACCCATTCTACTGAATTAGTTTTTTCATAGGGAAAGGGAGGCTACACAGGGAGTTACATACACAGAAGACAATGGAAAACCAAATCGTAGGGCTTTTTGTCTGTCAGGATGAAAAATACTGCACGTGGTACAGGAGAGAAAAACTTCTGTGCTGCAGTGCGTGAGTCAAATCTAGCTCAGGCTGGTCAAACAGCAGCTGCTGACTGTGGCTTGCCCTTGTCTTGCACAAGCACAGTGGTGGATGCCTCAGTTCACCTCTGATGAAAATGCACAGCTTATTGTGAGGTGATAAATTCTGTTCTCCTGGTTTCACAATCAGGGACCAGTCTTGGAGCAGGTCCTGTAATTTATAGCTTTAGGGAGCCTTTTCTACTACATCCTGATAATTAACCTGGAGGAGGGGTAAAGGCCAAGGGTTTAACTTTACGCAGTGTTCCCTGGGAAACGGACATAACAAATTCAACAAATTATTTGAACAAATATAGGATGTTGTCTTTTCATCCTTTTTTCCCCTCAAATTATTAGACCTTGGTGTAACTGAATCTTGAACAGCAGCCACTAAATAAATTCCAGGAATGGGTGTGATGGCAGTTGCTGAGCTTATTTCTATTGCACCTTGAAAGAGAAGTTTTCTGGCAGCTTTCAAATTTTATTCCTCTGCCATCATCGTGTAATTTGTACTTTTATTATAAATATTTCCAGTTTTAGTCCTTTTTTTGCTGTGCTGTGTCTTAGAGGATTGTATTTCCAAGATTCCTATTGAAAGTCTATCCAAAGTTTAATCTCTTATGAACAGGTCTGTTCCCTCTCAGCTTTGCCCAAGCAGCAGAAAATGCTGACGAGCACGTGAAGCAAGACAGTGACACCCACTGCGGGAGTAAAACCTCGGCTCTTTATTTAGAGTTTGAGGTGGGCCACCACGGTGATCCCTGGGATGGGTGAGAGGACCTTAACAGTGTTTGTTCTGTGTTTTCTTCAAGGCACTCCCTCTTTCCATGCGTGGTTTGCTTATTTGGTTTTTTTTTTCCTCCTCTTAGGCTGTGCTTTTATGGCTGGGCAAACAGAAACCTTGCTGTTCCTGTATCCTCCCACACAGTGTTTATATAGCAGGGTGGATTTCTGCCTCTTCTGCTCCCTGGCCTGTGTGACCGCTTTGTTGTCAGCAGGCAATTGCTGCTCGTCACTAACGATTTTAGTAAGGTGCTGTGGATGTAGCCGAAGAAATTTAGGAGGATGGGCTTAGAAGATGTAACAGAGACAAATGGGTGGGAATGGTTGGGAAAGTTAACTTAGAGGGGTAAATATTTGCTAGGTTAGAGAAATGGCCAGCAGAGACTGGATGAAGTACGGAAAAGGTGGTGATCGGGGACGTTGTTGAACGTGAGAAGTAGGCGTGTTTGTGGATCTAGTTTGCCTGGCATCAAACCCATGTGGGAAAAATTCCCCTTGGAAAAGTTCTGGATAAACGCAGTGTTCGAAAGAAGCAAGTGGAACATTTATTTATATATATATATATAGTAACTTTTTCCCCATTATTAGCCATTATTTCTCAACCACAGCTTTAATTGCCAGAAGGTTCTTTCAATTTTTTTTTTCAGTATGAAAGGAACATTCTACGTAGGATTAAAAGAAAGCAAACAATGCTTTCAGACACCTATCCCATTGTTCCCCATGCTCTACCACAAAAGAAACCCAAGCCTTACATTTGTCCCTAAAACTTTTTTGAAAAGGCATCTTACAATCCGTGAATATTCGAAAGTAAAAGTACATTGTTTTGCTGAACTGCAGGGATGACCATCAGAGACTTTCACCACAAGATTTAGCTTTAGCATTAAAAAGTGGAGACAAATAGCAACCAGATCTTAATATAGGATATGCGTTGGTCATGCCTGGAAAAATAAACTGGCTGTCCCTCATGACTGCTGTGTATGGAGTTTGAGCTTCCTTGTGTATATTGCACAGTAATTGTCTTGTATGGGGGTTTGGTGCTGTAGGTTTTATGCACATATGGACCGTGTTTGCATGTGAAATGAGAAGTTACAGGGCTTAGTCATGTAGAGGAGTGCTTGTATAATCAAAAGCATGTTGTCTCTTAAGCTATAGCAGCTGATCTGATAAGGGATGCTACTTCTTACAGCAAACTCTCTCTCAAGTAGGAGAGGGGCTGTTTTGTAGGTTAGAGCTGTGTTATTTTGAACGTTGAAAAATCGTCTCTGGAACCTGTTGGAACATTAAGGTTTTGCTTAACGTGGCCCGGCAGAATGTCATTTGCTCTGTGTGGAGGCGGTAAAATAGATGCTAGCAGCAGACTTGATATTTGAGTTACTCCCAAACTCCTAGATGGCACTGCAGTGAAGATCTCATCGGCAACCAAGGCTGAAGGGAATGTGGGAGAAACTTATATTGTGTTGTGGAGAGCATCTTGTAAGCATCTGATCCAACATAAAAATTTCTGTGAGCCTTTGCCCTTGGGATATAATGTGGTTGTGAGCAGTGTCATGTTAGCTAATCAGGACTCTCTTCTTCCAGTTGAATATGCAGAGTTGGGCCATGATGGTTTTGGGGGCTTTGACTTCCAAGGACCTTTCTTGAGGTTTGAATGTGGTTGATGATTTCCTGATGTAAAGCCTGATTCTGTAACATGTCAGCAAGGTTCCCAGCTGGGCGTCCTGCCTGGTCTCCTCATGTGTGGTGCTGGGTGTATTGTTAATTCTGTTACACCCATTGGAAGAGGAAAAGGCGGGTAATGGTTATACCCCTGCCTGACCCCACCTCGCACTTCTGTTCCTTAGGGGGGTGGAGACTGAACAAATGGGACAAACAGAAGGGCAGTACTGAAATAGGCATGCACAGAAATAATTCTTTCCAGTTAAAGGAGTCCCATATAGATTTAATGGTGAAGTGGCTTAGTTCATAGCAATTTCTGTTAGTTTATTTCATCTATCTCACTAAATTTAAATGCGTACATGCAGTGTGAATTCAAACAGTTTTTAAATAAATTGAAGATTTCCTAATTGTATTTTCCTTAAAAAAAAAAAAGGTGTTTTTCCATTTCACTGTTGCTATGCCAAGAGTCATGCAAACCACAAAGGGTAGTTAACATCATTATGCAAAGCAAGAACAATCCCACAAAAACAGCACCCCCCACAACCCAACCCAAAACAAAACTCCATAGCTGACATCCAAACCGCAGCAAAACAAGCCAAATGCAAAGGCTATTGCTG